ACATACTGTTTATAAAGTGAAACCCGCGAATGGCTCATTAAATCAGTTACGGTTCCTCGGATATTCTTTTTTACATGGATAACTGTGGTAATTCTAGAGCTAATACATGAACAAGTGTTCCAACCTCAGCTTGCTGACGGAAGGATCGCATTTATTAGTACAAGACCAATGATTCTTATTCACCTAGAACCCTGTTCAGTGATTTCGGTCGCTGTCTAAGGACTAGCAGTGGGGATCTTAGCAACTTCGGTTGCATTTCTTGTGATGACTCTGAATAACTGAGCAAATCGTATGGCCTCTGAGCCGACGATGTATCCCTCAAGCAACTGCCTTATCAACTGTCGATGGTAGGTTATGCGCCTACCATGGTTGTAACGGGTAACGGGGAATTAGGGTTCGATTCCGGAGAGGGAGCCTGAGAAACGGCTACCACATCTAAGGAAGGCAGCAGGCGCGCAAATTACACAATCCCAGTACGGGGATGTAGTGACGAAAAATAACAATACGGGACTCTATTGAGGCCCCGTAATTGGAATGAGTACAATTTAAATCCTTTAACGAGGATCTATTGGAGGGCAAGTCTGGTGCCAGCAGCCGCGGTAATTCCAGCTCCAATAGCGTATATTAAAGTTGCTGCGGTTAAAAAGCTCGTAGTTGGATTTCAGTCGAACCTATGGGGTCCACTGATTAAAGGGTTAGATGGTGATGTTAGGTTTCTTGCTTGTGTCTACGGATGCTAGCTTGAACCTTCATTCCTCTTTCCTGGTGGTTACATTCATAGTGTTTAGACAGAAAATTGCTCGATATTTGCTATCAATGCTCTTTACCGAGTGTTGATTCAGCGATCGAGACTTTTACCTTGAAAAAATCAGAGTGCTCAAAGCAGGCGTCCAAAACCTCGAAAGAGGTGCCTAAAAACGGTATGGTCAACCATCTATATGATGCGTACCACTACCTTAACTTGAATGATCTTGCATGGAATAATGGAATAGGACCTTGGTTCTATTTTGTTGGTCTTAAGAATCCAAGGTAATGATTAAGAGGGACAGACGGGGGCATTTGTATTGCGGCGCTAGAGGTGAAATTCTTGGACCGTCGCAAGACAAACTACAGCGAAAGCATTTGCCAAGAATGTTTTCATTAATCAAGAACGAAAGTTAGAGGTTCGAAGGCGATCAGATACCGCCCTAGTTCTAACCATAAACGATGCCAACCAGCGATCATTCTGAGTAACTAATTTCATGACTCGAATGGAAGCTTCCGGGAAACCAAAGTTTTTGGGTTCCGGGGGAAGTATGGTTGCAAAGCTGAAACTTAAAGGAATTGACGGAAGGGCACCACCAGGAGTGGAGCTTGCGGCTTAATTTGACTCAACACGGGAAAACTCACCCGGCCCGGACACTGAGAGGATTGACAGATTGAGAGCTCTTTCTTGATTCAGTGGGTGGTGGTGCATGGCCGTTCTTAGTTGGTGGAGTGATTTGTCTGGTTAATTCCGATAACGAACGAGACTCTAGCCTACTAAATAGACTTGCAGTTTACACTGCAGTACTCCCCCTTAGTCAACCTGTGGGTGGTAGTATCTCTTGATGGTTTCGGCTGTTGAGGGCTCTGCTGCTATTAGCCTACAGAATTGGCTAGGGTAAGGATGCTGTAGCACTGTAAGGACTTCTTAGAGGGACAAGCGGCGCTCGCAGCCGCACGAAACAGAGCAATAACAGGTCTGTGATGCCCTTAGATGTCCGGGGCCGCACGCGTGCTACACTGAAGTGGTCATCGTGCATACTGTTTCTGCTCCGAAAGGAGTGGGTAACCGCTTGAACCCATTTCGTGATGGGGATTGGGCATTGTAATTATTGCCCATGAACGAGGAATTCCCAGTAAGCGTGAGTCATTAGCTTGCGTTGATTACGTCCCTGCCCTTTGTACACACCGCCCGTCGCTACTACCGATTGAATGATTTAGTGAGGACTTCGGACTGGTCAATCCAGACCATTGGGAAACTAGTGGTCGGATTGTGCTGGAAAGATGTTCAAACTTGATCATTTAGAGGAAGTAAAAGTCGTAACAAGGTTTCCGTAGGTGAACTGCGGAAGGATCATTAACGTATTACCCTCTTATTATAAGAGAAATACAACCTTCAAACAATCAAACACTCTGCATAGTGATATTGTAGATGCTAATATGGTGAATGCAATTGAATTGTATTTGCATAGAGTCGCAATTGTGAATGTTTAATGCAAACATTTAGCCATTGCAACATGATTCTAACTTGCATTACATTCGTTCATTCATACATCCATCTTTCATTATCCAATGCAACAAAGAGTGAGGGTTATCTAACGATAGCCATAATTTCTTTTTGCAAAACAATTGTAGTTTATAATGAAAAGCCTGTCTTGCTACATACTTGGTACCTGTTCAAGTCTTCAGCTTATGCTGACGGCAAGGTTTAAAGAAGGAAGTTTTACACTTCTTCGCCTAACTAAGTAAAGACAACTATGGTTTTTATAAACTGCATACAATTGTTTTCAAACCCTCTCAATGCAGATTTAGGATACTTATTAAAAGTCCCACGGTGGCAAAGATACATCTTCAAGCGGTGGATCACTCGAATTACCAATCGATGAAGAACGTAGCTAGCTACGATAATCGGTGCGAATTGCAGGACACGCCGAGCACTTGAGCTTCCAACGCACATTGCGGCTTTCGGGTCTTTCCGAGGTCACATCTGTCTGAGAGTTGAGATGTAAAATAATCAACAAAACACTTGCATACTACCATATATGCATTGTTTTGAGAGGATTGTATATTTATATGCATGAATCTTGATGTTTTATTCCTTTTCTTAATTGCAATTCGTTGCAATTTAGTAAGGAGAATCTCAAATCTACTTGTTTCACATGATAAATTTTGTGTACAATGCATATTTCATCTCTGCAAGCAGTATATATGAATAGATACTAGCATGAGATTCTAAGGTTAGTCGCCTATCTGACGACGCTAAAGTCGTATTGCAGATAACTATGGTGATCAACTAACCTGTTAACTGATGAATCTTCTTGCACTTGTATAAATCGTACAAATAGTAGCTATTTCATGCTGTTAAAGCAGACCTAAGAAGTAATGCAAAGGCAAAATTTGTGCAAACATTAAAGTAGATTTACGTTGCTTGCTTGCAAACAACACAAATAAACATTAATCAACTTAATCAATATTTTTGATCTCAGATCAGGTGAGGTTACCCGCCGAATTTAAGCATATAATTCAGCGGAGGAAAAGAAATCAAATGAGATTCCCTGAGTAACGGCGAGTGAAAAGGGATGAGTCCGGCGCAAAGGTTTTCCATTGAAAGGTGGAAAGCGGTGCTGCGTAATGGCTAGAGTCACGATTATTTCAACTAAATCTGCAAGTCCCTCTGACAAGGGCCCTCTTCCCAGAGACGGTTCTAGGCCGGTGGCAGATCTTGGTTAATGGAATATCGATTACTGGCTTTAGTCGCGGATAGAGTCAGATTGCTTGAGAGTGCAATCCAAATTAGGAGGTAAACTCCTCCTAAGACTAAATACGATGGTAATATCGATAGCAAACAAGTACCGTGAGGGAAAGTTGCAAAGTACTTTGAAGAGAGAGTTCAAAAGGACGTGAAACCGCTTGTAGAGAAACGGATAGAACCACGAAGTGTAGCTGAGAGGAGAACTCAGCTCCTCTTGTGTATTGTTGCCTTTTTCTATTCAGTGCTAAGAATGCTTTACAGCGTTCCAAGATCAGTAGGTTAAGGGGTAACTTTTAGCCTGCCCTTGGATCTTGGTATTGATAGGAGGAGTGCAATATGTGCATGAGGAGTGCATTTTCTCAACTCTCGTGCTCAAACCACGACCAATGTGAAGGAGAGTGCAAAACTCTTGTTCAAGTGATAACAGCAAGGTGTACTAAACACACACCTAATCAGCATTTAGTTTTCACAGCTACTAATATTCCTTGCGTTGTTAGACTTAGCCTGTGAGCTAGTGTTGGCAACTGTTACCACAGTCACATTGGAGATGAATCTCTGCTTATGCAGGGTCAACAATGCTTGTCATCTGCTCTGACGAATCCGACTAGTCTTTCGTTGATGATGTCTGTTTCTTCACCTGGTGTTGAAACAACTCATGGATTGGCTGGCTTTTGGTGGTTTGTTGGTAAAAGTGGCAAGCTTACGTTAACCTAGTGATTCTGTGGTCAGTAGATCGGTACTCTATCCGACCCGTCTTGAAACACGGACCAAGGAGTCTAACATGTATGCAAGCTGATCAGTCTTGTTTAGGCTTGAAAGGCGAATTGAAAGAAATTGATATGATGTATGCTTGTAAGAGTATACCGCAATATCAGCCCGTGATATATCCACTTTACCGAGATTTTCGCGGAGCACTAGTATATATGTTAGTACCCGAAAGATGGTGAACTAAGCCCGGACAAGCTGAAGCCAGAGGAAACTCTGGTGGAGGTCTGTAGCGATTCTGACGTGCAAATCGATCGTCAGATCCGGGTTTAGGGGCGAAAGACTAATCGAACCGTCTAGTAGCTGGTTTCTTCCGAAGTTTCCCTCAGGATAGCTGGCACCAATGGAAGTACCAGTAGCATCCGGTAGAGCGAATGATTAGAGGTCTTGGGGCCGAAATAGCCTCAACCTATTCTCAAACTCCTAATGGGTGCGAAGTTCAACTTGTTAAACTTTTAAAGCTGAACATACTTTGTATGATGGTGCCCAGTGGGCCATTTTTGGTAAGCAGAACTGGCGCTGTGGGATGAACCAAACGTTAGGTTAAGGTGCCCGATGCTGACGCTAATGAGATCCCATGAAAGGTGTTGGTTGCTAAAGACAGCAGGACGGTGGCCATGGAAGTTGGAATCCGCTAAGGAGTGTGTAACAACTCACCTGCCGAAGCAACTAGCCCTGAAAATGGATGGCGCTCAAGCGTTGAACCTATACCTAACCGTTAAGGCAATCATATATATTATTTATCATGATATAAGCTTTAACGAGTAGGAAGAATGTAGTGATAGCGTCGAAGGTGTCTGACGTAAGTCAGCCTGGAGCTTTCACTATTACAGATCTTGGTGGTAGTAGCAAATACTCAAGTGAGACCCTTGAGGACCAATGTGGAGAAGGGTTCCATGTGAACAGTAGTTGAACATGGGTCAGTCGGTCCTAAGCGATGGGGAGAAATCCCTAACCAAAGTCCCAGATACAATTATCAAGTTGACTGTGGTGTTTCGCGAAAGGGAATCGGGTTAATATTCCCGAACCTGGCGTGGGGAGATTGGCTTCTTCGGAAGTAAATGCGGTAACGCAAAACTAACATGGAGATGTTTCCAAAAAGTCCTGGGGAAGAGTTGTCTTTTCTTTGTAAAGGTACCAAGTCCCTGGAATCGGTTTAACCCGGAGATAGGGATTCCGGTACCGTAAAGCACCGCGGCTCTTGCGGTGTCCAGTGCACTTTTTGGAAACCCTTGAAAATCTATGTTAGAGATTATAACTTCCCGCCAGAACTGTACCTATAATCCGCAGCAGGTCTCCAAGGTGGAACAGCCTCTGG